CTTACTTCCCTCCCATCCTCCCTCACTCAGTTCCCCCTCCTTCCTTTATTTCCTTTAACTTTTGTAATAACATAGTTTCACTCATTTTGAAATATCCAGGCTGCTAAGAGTTCAAATATATTGTTATAACTCCCCCCCTTTTTTTAGAAAATGCTATGCTTAATATCAAGTTGCTCCCAGTTCTTGCTTTATGTTTACATTAACCTTTGTAGAAAGGTTAGAAACCAACTAATTATTGAATGAAATTAGCAGGTAATCAATTAGAAAAAATGAGATGGTATACATGACCCTTTCGATATGCATCTTCAAAAAGGAAAAAAGAAGTTAGGAACTACAGAACTGAACTGGGAAAAAAAATTGATCCCAAACGAAACAAGCTTAAAATATTTGATTAGTGTCATAACCAGTATTCAACATAAGCAGCTGGCCTAGCTTGTGGTTTGATAGTAGATAGAAAATACACAAGGAAGACTAGGGTGGGGAGAAGATGGCAAGGAATTTTCTCAATTAGAGATTCTTTTTTTGGGTGATAATATTTATTATAACTTTTCAATGGAAATAAATACCTAGGTATCCAATGGATTGTTGAGACTTAGATCTCAATTCAAAATCAAGAATTATGACTGTTTAAGAAGTTCCACAAAAACCTGTATACTTCATAGGCATGCAATTTTGGTAACACGCATTTTGGCTTTTTTGCTTTGGTGTGGGTGAGTCTCTTATCTGGGGTTTTAAAGCAACAGATCTTTGGTGTGGGCTCTTTTTTAGTTTGTACATGAACGGCAGATATTGTGGGAAGGTTGACTTTTTCCCTACTCCAGGAGAAGAACCGCACTCCTGGAATTCCATGTGAGTCCCACAATTGTCGATGTCTCTTTAAAGAGACTAATACTGATTAGACTCTGCAACATACAGGTTGGCTATTTCTAATGGAAATCATGGTAGGCATTCAAATGACCAAACTGGGATCTGCCCACAGTCCCAGAGTACTGTGGGATTCCCTGAATCTAGGCTTTATTTTTGAGACGTGTAAAAACTTGATGAATTAAATCAGTGAAGGAAGAAAATAGTGATCCATCTTGGCAGTGCAAATACTCTAATGAATGGGGAAGTTGGTAGGTATGAGCTTAACAGGGTGTAGGCTTATGATGAAATAAACAGTAAATGCAAACCACAAGACTAACATGACCATCTAGTCGTGAACATTGTATAAAGGATTAGTTGATATAGTAAGGCTCTTCAAATATATTGGGTAAATATTCAGCTTAAAGGCAAAGATACTTAATTTTTTAAGTATTCAGAGGATTAAATATAGTATAAATTAATATTTATTACCTCAAAGGATAAGAAGGAAGATGGTGTTGTCACCACACATACGAAGTTGGGACTTTTCACCCCAAATCTCATCAAACTGGTGACACATAATACCTCAGGAGGGTGTGGAGAAGTTTATAACTCATATAATGAGATCTTCTGGGGAGAGCAGGCCAGATTCCCAGAGAAAGCTAAAAATAGGTTAAGAGAGCGGGGAGAACCAGTGACCAGAATTTTCATGGGTATAGAGGCTGGAGAGAGGTTTTTCATGTTTGGACAAGGGCTTGTGTGGTTTGAACCTTTGGCCAGAGCAAAAGAAAGGCCATTGAAGCTGTCTTGTCAGGTTGACCAATGAGGGCAAGGGGAAAAAGGATGGTAGATCTTAAAAGCTGCCCACTGTCAAATTCTGTGTTTCTTGCTTCTTATACCCTAAGAAATCCTTGCCTAACCTAAGGGAGAAGATTTTTCCCCTCTGTTTTCTTATAGAAGTTGTATACTTTGGACTCTTGGATTTTTCTGTCTGTTTTTTGTGCTTAATGATATATAATTGTCTCTGCTCTCTTTGTTGTAAAGATCATCCTTTTCCCCCACTGAATTAGTTTGACACTTTCATAAACAATTGAGTATATGTAGGTGAGTTTTTCTGAACTCAATTCTGTTCCAGGATCCACCCTGTGCTTTATTTCTATTACTATATTCTACCATAAGTTTTAAATTCCTAGTGCAATCTTTTCAAAATTCATTTGGTCAATTTGCCTCCTTTATATTCTTACATAAATTTTAGACTTGACTGTCATTTTTGTTAAGAAACATAAAAAAATCCTATAGGATATTGGAAGATTGCTTTGAACCTGTGGTTAATTTGAGGGAGAAATGGTGCCTTAAGAACTACAGCTTGTTCCTATTTGTTGACATGATAAAAGGAGTCTTCAAAAAGTTCATGGAAGGTGTGTACTGTAAAAACTATGCATGGAGTTCCAAAGTGTTCTGCAGTAAAATTTATCTTCTAATTTCATCTTTCATGAACTTTTGAAAGTATGCTTGTACTGCATTTATCTGGATCATATTTTTTTCACTTTTTTGGGGTTTACAGTATCTTAAATGTCTATATGTTTTATTAAATGTATACCTGTTTGATTTTGATGTCATAGTAATACTGTAGAATTATAATTGGTTTTATATATTATATCTGACCTCAAGAAATTGTTATGAGTGGCTGACTTGTAGATTCCTTATAAGTTGTCATGTCATCTGCAAATAGACAATTTTCTATAGAAACATTTTTAAAAAGATTTATTTGAAAGAGTTACACAGAGGGAGAGAAAAAGACAGAGATAGGAGAGAGGGAAAGATAAAGACAGAGATAGGAGAAAGAGAGAGAGAGAGAGAGATCCTCCATCCTCTTGTTCCCTCTCCAAATGGCTTCATTGCCTGTGCCAGGTCAAAGACATAAGCCAGGAGCTCATTTGGAGATTCCACGTGGGTTCAGGGGCCCAAGAATTTGGGCCATCTTCTGTGGCTTTCACAGGTGTATTAGTAGGGAGCTGGATCAGAAGTGGAACAGCAGGGACTTTAACTGGCATCCATATGGGATGCCAGCACTGCAGGCAGTGGTTAAACTGGCCGTGTCACAGTGCAAGCTCTGCTTGAAATTTTAAAAATTTGTTTATATATGTAAGTCTCTCTCAGTCTTTCAAATGAATAGAGACACAAACACAGAGGGGAAGAGAGAAAGCTGCCATCCGCTTGTTCACTCCCCAAAGGCCCACAACAGCCAGTACTGGGCAAGATTGAAACCAAGAGCCGGGAACTCTACTTGAGTCTCCCACATGGGTGCCAGGAATCCAACTACTTGAGCCTTCACCTGCTGCCTCACAGGATGCACATTAGTAGGAAGCAGAGCAGAAGCTATATGCAAACCTAGGGATACCAATATGAAATATAGGCATCCCTTGTAGACACTTAACCAGTGGGTCAAAAACCCTGCTCTCTGTGATTAGTTTTAAGATGTTCTGCCTTACCATGTGGGACTCCCTGGTTCAAGCAGTTATCTTCATTAGAAATCCATGGCCTGGGAGCGCTCAGCTAGCTTCTGAGGGGCAATGCTTACACAGCTACCACAAACTCTTCTCTAACTTTATGACTGATCGGCACTAGAGTCTGCTTATTAGTGGAAGAAATGTCAGAAGTGATGTTTTTGTTTTTGATGAAACTAGTACTAGCCAACCAACTGAAGTGATGGTGGCAATACATTTGTGTTGTTCAAATACATATTCAAATTCTGTTGCCTGGCTAAAACACTCTGGAGACACTCTTGACAGAGAACAGGGCATAAACACTAAAGGAGCCCAAGAAGTTTCTGCAAGGGAAATAGAGTTGGCTGGGCAAGAAATGATGGAAGTGATAGCCGGTGCCGCGGCTCACTAGGCTAATCCTCCGCCTTGCAGCGCTGGCACACCAGGTTCTAGTCCTGGTCGGGGCGCCGGATTCTGTCCCGGTTGCCCCTCTTCCAGGCCAGCTCTCTGCTGTGGCCCGGGAGTGCAGTGGAGGATGGCCCAAGTGCTTGGGCCCTGCACCCCATGGGAGACCAGGAGAAGCACCTGGCTCCTGCCATCAGATCAGCGCGGTGCGCCGGCCGCGGCAAAGGAAGACCTTTCTCTCTGTCTCTCTCTCTCCACTCTGCCTGTCAAAAAAAGAAATGATGGGAGTGGGAAAGAAACACTGAAAAGGGGATGGCGGAACTCAAAAAAGCAGACAGTTCCTAGGAAACATGGTTTGAGAGAGGAGACACTGCATGAGCAGTGGCAAGTCAGGCCATTGTGAGAGGCCCTGTTTGGGGGTTCAGGAACCCTGGTGGGCTAAGGGTTTGCAAGACTGCCCCATTTTCTATAGCGTGGTTTATGTCTTTGGATTTCTGTCCTTCTATTCCCCATTTATGCCATTTAATAAGTCCAGGAGTTCTAAAACTCTACATGAAAGACATGTAGACACCTATTGTGGAGGTGGAGGAAAGCTCTCAAAACCTTGCTTGAGAAGATCTTGAACTAAACAGGGGCTCCCAAATAGCCTGGGATAGCTATCACCATTGTATCATCATATTTTCACAGTTCTTGCCAAACATCTATTACAGTACCAGTATATAGTACTGAATATTGGATGTAAAAAATGAGAAGTTACAAATGGATTTTGCCTTTAATTAGCTGTTAGCCTCCTGTTTGGCTGATATTAAATATTCAATACAGCATTTTCTCCCCCAGTGGTCCTGGTCTATTAGGATTAGTTGCATGGAATATGTCTTCAACCAAACACCAATCTTCAGCCTGTACTGCTCTGTATCTTTTGCCCACTTTTCTGGCCTTGGCCCATTTTCCCTTGGATTTGTTGCTCTCTACTTTATGTTCCAGCATTTCCTTCACTGCTCCCCTCCTAACAAAGTGCAAGTAGGGGCATCACTTGATGTTTAGGGCTTCATTTCCATGTTCACACCTCATTCCTTCCAAGTAAATGCAGGGATAAGGATTCTGTTGCCTTAGCATTTGGTTAGGAAAAAAATCTGGGATTTTTAAATACCTGGTGAATTATAGAAGTAAATACTTCTAGTTTTGGAAGGTACCTTAGTTTCAAATAAGCAAACTAGGCCTGGAAATGTTAAGTATCACATGGTTAATGATACACATCGCTCAAGGGCAGGTCAGAAAGTTTTATTGCTTCAGTTGCTGTGTTCTGTGTGCCATATTACAAGATACCACAAATCACATTTTAGCAAGACAATTCAGAAAGAAGCAAGAGAGGGACAGTGGGTGGAAACATCTTGTTTTGTTTCTCAAGTTACATCACACAGGTGCTATGTGTTACACTAGTTCCTATTTCATGAGTCACAAGGCCAATGTCAAATTCCAGGTTAAAACAAATGAATGGTCAGAAAGTTCTGTACAACAAACTGATTTGATGAATCCAACTCATGCTCCTTTTGCTTTGAAAAAAATATTTTAGTGGAAATACTATTATATTTGCATTTAAACAGCCCTTGAATGGGTTGTCAGGAAAAAAAAAATAGAACATTGATTGTTTAGGACTGTTGGCACAGAGACCTAGAAACCAGAACTTTGTCAGATTGCATTTTCCTCCTAAAGAGAACAAAATGCCCCAAATCAATGAATGGTCACCGTAGAAAGAATTCAGCTCTAAGTTAGAGAGACTTGAATATCTGCATTCTGCATTTGGCTCAGAGATCCAAGCAGATACACCAGAAATTACTGGATTAAAAGGCAAGTCATATATATATATATATATATATAAAGAGCTTGGTAATTTAAAAAAAAGATTATTTATTTGGAAGTCAGAGAGAGACTGAAAGAGAAATCTTTGATCCACTGGTTTACTCCCCAGATGGCTGCACTGGCCGGGGTTAGGCTAGGCCAAAGCTAGGATACAGGAGCTTCTTCCAGATCTCCCATGTGGATAGCAGGGGCCCAAGCCCTTCAGCCATCTTCCACTTCTTTTACCAGGCCATTAGAAGGGAGATGGATCATAAGTGGAGCAGGTGGGACATGAACTGGCACCCATATGGGATGCTAGCATGGCAGGTGACAGTTTTACCCACTACACCACAACGTTGGCCCCTTGGTGATTTAAAAAAAAAAGTCTAAGGTTTTCGTTATGATTGCTTTAAATCAGTATTTTGAGAGTCTTCAAGATTGTAATACATTCTTATTAACTATAGTCCCCATGCTGGACAACGGATTTCTTGAATATATTTCTTCTATCTAATCAAAATTTTGTACCCTTTGGCCAACATCTTCCCAATGCCCACAGGCATTCCCAACCTCCAGTAACATCATCAGCTATCTGCTTCTGAGTTTGCCTTTTTCAGATTCCATGTATGAGTGAGGTCATGAAATATTTCTCTGCTTGGCTTATTTCACTTAATGCGAGGACTTCTGGGTTCATCTGTTGCAAATGACAGGATTTCCTTTTTTTTAAAAGATGGAACAATGTTCTATTGTGTTTTTATACATCCATCCATCCCTTGATGGACATGTAGGTTGATTTCAAACCTTGGTAATTGTGACTAATGCAATGTAGAAGGGAGTGCAGGTACCTCTTGAACATGTGGATTTCCTTTCCATTGGCTTTATAGCCCATCAGTAGTAGAATTGTTGGATGATAGTGTAGTTCTAGTTATTTTTTTTAAAGAAGCTGCATACAGTCTCCCATAATGGCTGTAGTAATTTGCATTCCCACCACTGTGCAAGGGTTCCCTTTTCTCCATATCATTGCAACACAGCTTTCATCTTTTTGGTAATAGCCCATCTAAAAGGTGAGATGACTTCTCTCTGTGGTTTTAATTTTCACTTACCTGATATTTATTGATGTTGAACATTTTTTCATGTACCTGCTAGCCATTTGGATATCTATTCAGGTTCTTTGCCCATCTTTTGGTTGGGTTATTTTCTTGATATCAAGTTGAATTCCATGTATGTTTTTCTTATTAACCCTTTATCAGATGCATGGTTTACATATGTCCTCTCACTCTATAAATTCTCTTTACTGATTGTTTTCTTTGCTGTGCAGAAATTTTTCATAACGTCCTCTCATTTGTATATCTTTTCCTAAGAACAGTTACCAATGTTGTTTCTTCCTGTTCAGTCCGTGGAGTTCCTTCCTTGAACCATTCTGCCCTAAAGTAATCTTCCTTTCCTGATCTTTCCCAGGCATACTCTATTGCATCACTCTGATTTTCATTATAGAACAATGGGAAATTATCTTGTTTTGTTTCTTCATTTACTCCTGTCTTACCCAATAGACTCCAAGAGAAGATGTGTCTTGTACATCACATGCTTGATTGCCAGCACAACATTATTTTAATAAGTATAAAGTCATGCGGAACAGATGGGACCAGGATACCCATGTTTCATGTTTGAGTGCCAGTGTTCAATTCCTGGCTCTGGTTCCTGATTCCAGCTTCCCACAGAGCAGACCCTGGGAGGCAGCAGATGATGGCTCAACTCACTGGGTACATGACACTTGTGGGAGACCTGGATTGAGTTCCTAGCTCTTGGTTTCAACCTGGTCCAATCCCAGCTGCTGTGGGCATTTGGACGAGTGAACCCACTGTATGAGAGCCCTGTCTGTTTCTCTTTCTGCCCATCTGTCTCAAATGAATTTAGAATCAAAAAGTTGTGAACATTTACTTGAGGTAGCTCAGGAAATACATTCTTGATTTCATTAAAATACAACACAAATAGCTTCTAAGGTTTGTTTAGCTGCCCTTATTAAGATATCAGAATGCATAGGAATAACCATCAGGATTTCTGATTTTCCACTGTGTTTTTCTTTCTGGGAAGCAGTAAAACCCTCTAATTTTCCTCATGAGGACACTGAAGCCCAGAGAAGTTAAATGTCTGTTACCTTTGTGCTCAGAGCCTGAGCTCATGACACCTGGTATTTGAATGTCATCTTCGTGACTGAAGGCAGACTAGAAGTGAAGTGTAACTACAAATTCCTCCTCCATGTGTATTTTCCATAGACATATTTCAAATTCACTCTCAACAGACATCTTGGCCCACAACAAAACATTACTCATAATTGGAATGAGACTAATAGAGAGCATTTATTCATTTATTTCTTTGAAATCTGTACAAGTTCTTTGAGAATTATATTGGAGAGATGGGATAGAATTCACAAAGTGTCAAATAACTTCAAAGAGTAACTTCCTGTGGTGGACCAACGTTGTTAAAAACAGATTTAGTCCTAGCCTAAACAAAATTATGGCTAGGCCTAGTCAACTGAATTTAATTTTTATTATGGATTAATAGAAATTCTGTATCTGAAAAATTGGGCTCGTCTATCAAGCTACTTTTACTAACAGGATTTTTATATAAGGCAACTGAAAATGTAATTAAGAAACATCTTTAAGCTCATGCAGAAATTGCAAGTGTGTTCTATAGTTATTAACTTAGACATTTTTATCAGTTGTTTCATACACCCATATTTTAAAAATCAGATGATTATTTAACTGCCAGTGCTTGTGAATTATTATAATTTGGAAAGATGTTAGAGTGCCACAAAGTATCTAAATTTTTGCTCTTTTTTCTATTTTACTAATTACCTTAGTTCTTACTGTTCTAGTTCTTGAGGCATAATGTCAGATTGTTTCTGTTCTTTTTTGATGTAGAAATTTATCGCTGTACATTTTCCTCTTAAAACTGTTTTTTTCACATGCCATAGACCCTGGCATATTTTCTATTTTCGTATTTCTCAAGGAATTAACTTACCTTTTAATTTATTCATTGACCTATTGGCTACTCTTGCTGTTTAATTTTCATGTATTGGTGTATTTTCTAAGCTTTGCCCTGTTATGGATTTCTAGATTCATACCACTGTGGTGGAAACAGTATTTGATCTGATTTTAATCTTCATACATTTAGGTCTCATTTTGTGGTCTGAGAAAAATTCTATTGTATGTTCTGTGTGAATTTGAAGGATGTGTGTTCTAGTGTCAGGTGGAATGGTCTACATATATCTGCTTAAGCATGGCTTACCTATTTCTCTATTGATTTTTTTTTTTTTATCCAAGTGATCTGTCAATCATTGAAAGTAGGAGTATTGAAATCTTTTTTGTGTTACAGTCTCTTTCAGGCCTATTTTTTTTTTTTTAACATGGAATGCCACAAAAAAAGTTCAGAGATACTGATTCATTATGTATTTTATGAATGAGTGGGGCAATTAGGAATGCCTACCTGTATTGTCTTTGCTAATGCTCATGAACAAGCTGCAGGTTGTCTTGTTCCTTATTTTACAACTCAAACAACTAAATGAAAGAGCAAGTAATTCATCTCATGCTATGCAGTATCTGACAAATGGCAGTGCTTAACTCAATCCCAAGGCTGTTTACCACCAAAAGACCATATCACTCACCACCACTCCCCCCATGTAGCCTCCCTCTTACTAGGTTCCATTATGTGGTACTGACTTTCAAACTTTGTCACATGTACATACTTTCATAATACATGTAATGGAAATAAAAGCTGCACAGACAGTTCTTACTAAATATGACTGACAGATTCTGTTCTACCCTATTCTGTTTTTAAAAATTCTAGTGTGACTCACTAAATTGATTTTAATGACCTATTAGTAAGTACCTGTATTTTGAAATCCTCAATGTAAATGCCTTTCGATATCTTGTAGTCTGCCCCCATGCAATTGTAAACTGTACATATTGAATTTTACTAACAGATCAAAGTTGCAAGGATTGGTTACTACAAATCATCTTAAAGATGTGTATTCCACATTTGGTTTTGTCTTCTCACCTTTGGTCCTTGAGTACACTAATGGGATCTTTACCTTCAGAGAAGTTGCTAATACAAACTACGGGGCCTCATCACTAGCAAATCAAATGGGATAACCACCACAGGTTACATAGAAGCAGAAAAAAAATTAGACCTAGATATGTTGGTTGATTTGAGGTCCTTCAGTTTTGTTCCCAGGACCGGTGGTCTTTTTTGTGAAAAATAGTATCAGCGACTATCAGGGTACCCAGAATTTGAAGGAATTATTGAGCCCATACCTAAAACTATTCCATGGTCCTCCCAGTCTCTGTCCCTTGCTCTAGTGCTCCCATCTGACTTCTAGTGCATGAGGCTGTAGCTTCACACCCCAGGACGGAAGAATACAACATGAATCATGTTCTTCCTCCATAGAAAGCCCTTTTTTTTGATGCATGTATATTTTGAAAGTTTTACACAGATCAATGCAAATGTGTATACTTCACTATAAATAACCATGTTGGTTTAAAAAAAGTACTTTCCATACTCAAACTATTTTTGGTATTTATGAAAATGTATTCAGTAAGCCTTCATGAACAGCAGGTGAAATACCAACTGGGAGGAAACTGAGAGCTACAGATAAAAAGCATAGCAAAATTATTTCACTAATTCAGTATTTTATTTGGTGTCAAAACATCTTAACTGTGAGTTGTTTAAGTGTTCTTATCAATACTTTTAGAAGAAACACTTCTAGAAAATATTATCAATTGTGCTATTAGAAATAATTCAGTTAACTCCTTCAATATTAACTTAATGGAGCATTTATGCAGATATTTTTAATAGTCACTTAGGTATAAAACTTTTGTAAGAAAGATAACACTTATTGCATTATAATTTCATCTTTTAAAGGAGTCATAATGCAAACTCATAAGCATAAATATATACATGATCAACCAAATGGTAACATAGCCACTAAAAGATTTAAAATGTAAAACTTTAGCAGGCAAAATACTTAATATGGCTTTTAATGGAAAATAACTGTTAAGAAATAATTTATTGCCCATTCTAGTCATTCCCCATCAAGTGAACATAAAATTATGGTTTCCATTTAAAATGGTACATGTTATTTAAGCCAATGTTGTACACATTTTGTAACATGTAGTATGCCATAGGATTTGTGGACTTTGTTAAATATACATACATATGTACATATATATAGATATACAGTATTAGACAGTTCTGCTTTAATACCCCTGAACATTTTGATGAAAACTGTTACAAGTTTTTTCTTATAAAACTACTTGAAAAGTTGGCATAACTTCTTGGTATTGAAGTTTGGTCTTACAGAATTAAAAAAAAAAAGACAAAAGTTGGCTATAAATACATTCTTTACAAAAAATGAATAGTGGTCCCGCACTCATACTTTATATTACAGTGAAAACATTTTATTCATTGGAAGGTATTTACATCTGGTTGTCCTTGGTTTCTGTGTGAAATATACAGAAGTTAGTAGTGAGAATATTGTAGGCAGGCCTATGTGTTAGGTTTTTCTACTTGTTCATGTTTGTGTAGGTTCCAATTCTCTTCTTTGGAGTTGTTGTTGATTTCTGGTTGCCTTGTATTACTGCTGCTGCTGCTTCTTTTGGTGTTCTGGGAACACTGGGCGATTTTACTTCTAGGAACAGGAAGAAAAGATTTAACTCTTGAAACACCCAACTCAGTCTTTGATTTACTGGTGCTGCATTCGGTAGCTTGATGGCTGCTGAGAGGACTGACCTCCTGGAAGAAAACAGATGCCAAGTAGAACACGGGTGCCATTATTATTACCAACACCTAGTTTTACTCTTCTAGTTCTGAGCAAACACACACCACTCTCCCCAAAGATAAAGGAGAGAAGCAGCTCAATCTGTGCACCTCCTGCTTGATTTTCATTAGACCTTTTCTGGTGTCACACAAGCCCTAAATGCAGGAGTCCGTGAATCAAATGCTGAGTCTGAAATGTCTTTACCAACAGGAACTTCATGAAATCCCAGGACTAAGAAAACAGCGAATGGGACTGTTTCAACCCTCAATGTACAGTGATGTCACCCTGGGTAAGTCACCTAAGTTTTCCATGAACACTTTTTGAGCATTTACCATAACATATGCACTGTTCTAGTTGCTTGGTAGACAGCAAAGAACACAAAGGAGAAACAGCCTTGCCCTGCTGTAGCTCACTCCAGGTGAATTAAGGCACCTGCTGCTCATTGATTCTGTGCTTGGTAGGCTCAGTATGCTCTCAGTTTTCTTTTTCTAAAGTATTTATTTTTCATCTACTTGAAAAGTAAAGTGATAGCTCTTATATCCATTAGTTTGCTGTGCATTTTAAGCCAAGAGCTCAGTCCTCCATAGGAGTGCCAGAGACCCAAGTAATCAGGCCATCATCTTTTGGCTGTCAGTGTGCATCAGCAGGAAGCTGTATCAGAAGTGGCGAAGGTGGAAGCCAGGCACTGCAATATGGGATGTAGGTGTCCCAAGTATTTCAGTCAATATTTCTCATTTTGCTGATGAGAAATATAAGAGCTGGGTAGGTCTGATGATTTTCCCATGGTCAAAGAGCAAAGAGGCAGGGAAAAGACCTTAGGTCTTCCAGCATGGTATGAGGCCTGCTTAGTGAGCTATTCTGGATACCTCTGAAGTAGTTAACATCAATTACCAAAGACAAATGTAACCATTGGAAGCTTCAGAATGTAAAACTAGAATGTAAGAGGAGAGAAAAATAGGCTTTTAATGGAAATAGTTCTTTTTCAACTGGCAGTTGCAATCTCCTGGGTGTTCTTGAAAAAGTTATTTGAGAAAGCGTGAGAGATCTCCCATTTGCTAGTTCACTCCCCAGATGCCTGCAACAGCCAGGGCTGAGTGAAGCCAGACCAGGAATTCTACCCTGTTCTCCCACATTGGGTTGATGGTCTTATGGGATGCCAGTGTTGTAGGTGGTGACTTAGCCCACAAAACTACACTGCCAGCTCTCCTCCTGGGTGTCTCATAATTGGGTTATCAACTTTGGCTACAACATTGGACTTAGCTGGGAAGTTTGGGCTATATACCCAGAGACTGATTGAATTGGTCTAGGGGGTAACAAAGTAAAAGGTTTAAAGTCACCACCTGATTCTAATGTGAAGCCAAAGGTGAGAAGCCCTTCCTTATCTGTGAGGAGAAAAGAGCTGGTGAGCATAGTTGAGGACCTTTCCTTCTGCCCATTGTGAGTCTGTCAGTCATCTCCTCTAGGAGATCTACCTCTAGCTCTCCTTATCTTGAGGACAGAATTTCCATGTGCTAGGCAAGATAATTCATCTATGTCTAGCTTGTGCTTTGAACTCAAGTTTTCTAAAACCAAATGTAACGTAGTTCCTCAATCTCTGAAGCCTACTTTCCCGGCTCACTGTGGGTTAACTGTGCTCTCCCAGGTAACTGAGCAAGGGACTCCCGTCATCTTGAACAACTGCCTTTGGCCTTTTCACACAAGCCAATGTTGTCTGAAAAATGAGAGAATTACGGCTCTGTTGGTGCAAGTGAAAAGGAAGGGATGACTGACGTTCTCACCAACCACACAGTAAGTCCCAAACTCCTAAGCATGTCACTAAGTGTGGCTCTAATCTCTCCTTTAAATTCCATTTTCCTCCCTTTCCACCTCTTAAAGCCCCATACAGTTTGTCCATTAAATTACTCCTGAACGACCAAAGTGAAAACCACCTGTGTCAGATCTTCACACCTAGCTAGCCTTACATGGTTAGGCAGCTGTACAACTGGAATATGCCTTTGGCTAGAGGCTTCAACACTGACTCTTGCCAAAACAACAAGTGTGTAATGAATGAAGAAGTGACAAATATAGGATACTCAGTGCCCATGGATGGATGGGAGAGAAGGCTAGGCTTAGGAAGGAGGTAGCCTTCTGAAGAGGCGGCGTACACCAACATTCTGTTGCATTGAGCTCCAGCTGGTGGGCACCCATGTCCCAGTCAATCCTCGCCACCTCCTTTCATACTTTATGGCAGGTCAAGGGTGAAGTTGAAAACAAAATCGTACTCAATCTGACTTGTATATTCTATAGAGAACTTTATTTGAGAAGTTACCAGAGAAAAAATAAGAAATAGCTATATTCCTGATGGCCAGAGTCACCTGTCAAAACCTGTAAAATGAGACAGAGATGGTAGCCTAATAAGGCTAATCCTAACTTATCATTTGATTTAAGGTACCAGAACATTTAACTATAACATGCCATCTTTTCTGAAAACTATATAAACTAGTAAGGGGAACAGTTGTTAGATCTGTTCTCCATACATTGCAGATGCCAACTATAAATGATTTTTCCATCATCACTGAACTCCCTTTGACAGTCCATACTGTGTGTTCTGAGGCCCAGAGGGAAGTCTAGGAGCCACATATGATCCTCTCAGGTTGAGCTCTGGCCTGCAATCTGAAGGCGCAGGGAATGCATCTCCAGGAGTCCGTGGCAAGAAATTCCCACATGGAATTAAGTGCCCACCACAGCTGTCAACCATGATTGAGAGGTCAAGGCTGCATGTGGAGAGGTGGGGTCAAGTTTGTCCCTGCAGTTATGATGAAACATGGAGGATCCCTAGGCCTTAGGTGGATCACAGCAATTCATGGCTGGGAGTGCGAACTTACATCAAGTGACGTACAGTCAAGCACAAGCCTTGACAAAGCTAAGATGTATATCAGAGGCTTAAAGTAGAAGACTTCGGGGTTTTAGCCCAGAAAACAATCTAAGCTTTGCTGTGTACACTGAACCCCCGTTCTCACTTTATGGAAAGGCAAGTTTTAATAATTTATCTTAAAAGAATTACTGTTAAAGCAGACCGATTCTTTCAATGCTAAGCAGTTACCAGAAGCTACAAAGAAACTATAATTTCCCAAGATGGCAAAGTAGGGGCCAGGAAGTAAAAACATGTAGGGAAGATGGCATTGGAGACCAATCTTTTAAAGAGGTATAGGGACTGTGACAGGTGGAGAGAGACAATTCCATGGGTAGGAAGAGGGGTAAAATGTTGGACATGTGAAAAGCAAGTTAGAGAGGCTGGAGCTGTGGCATAGAAGGTTAATCCGCTACCTGCAGCGCCAGCATCCCATGAGTGTCGGCTGCTCTCCTTCAGATCCAGTTCCCTGCTACTGTGCTTGGGAAAGCAGTAGAAGGTGATCCAAGTCATTGGCCCCCTGTACCCACATGGGAGACCCAGAGGAAGCTCCTGGCCCAGCCCTAACCATTGCAGCCATTTGGGGAGTGCTCCAGCAGCTAGAAGATCTCTCTCTACATCTCTGCCTTTCAAATCAACAAATCTTTTCTAAAGAAAAACATGAGGTACCTAAAGATACACATGGAAAGAAAAACGTGGATGACAGATGAGTGCTAGGTAGAAGAATTGGTCTGAGCACTGGGTGTACATGAGAAGCAGATTTTTAAGAAACCCAACATCTCCCTCAGAACTTCTAAGGGACAGAGTCCAGGCTCCAGGGACTGGATTTTATGCAGCATCCACAGATGAGAACTTCTGCCTTAATGTGCACTTATATATTAGTATTTGCTCTATTGATGCTTTAAATGTGTATGAGTGAAGGCTATCCAACATGCCACCTGATTAACCCTCATGGTCAGAGCAATAAAGAATTACACTATAGCAACAGAGGAAGACAATAGTAATTTTGTTTTCCAGTGGATAAAGAAGCAGCGGGAGAAACAGGCTTAGCCTTTGGCCAGGATGGAGAAAGTGATCAACTAATCCAGAGAGCTCTTAACTCTAGTGGGTGTACCTTCCTGATAACAGAAGAAACTGGGCATCTAACCAAGACATGCCAGTTGAGTGATCAAGAATCTAGAAAGAGTGAGACTGCCAAGCTGTCAATGGCCAAGGGAGTGTTGCTCTGCCCTCTGCTGGCAGTTTCTGACGAAAACCACTTCTGGCTCTGGGGGAGGAGTCCCTCTAACTTCAGGGGGCAAAAGGCAACGTATTTTTTTTTTTTTTTTGACAGGCAGAGTGGACAGTGAGAGAGAGAGACAAAGGTCTTCCTTTGCTGTTGGTTCACCCTCCAATGGCCGCCGCATCACGCTGATCCGATGGCAGGAGCCAGGTGCTTCTCCTGGTCTCCCATGGGGTGCAGGGCCCAAGCACTTGGGCCACCCTCCACTGCACTCCCAGGCCACAGCAGAGAGCTGGCCTGGAAGAGGGGCAACCGGGACTAGAACCCAGTGTGCCGGCGCCGCTGGCAGAGGATTAGCCTTTGAGCTGCAGCGCCAGCTGCAGCATATTCTAACACCCACCCTAAACTGTGCATCTTAGCAACCACATATTCTTTTATTCTGCCTGGGCTTTGACAAAAGGACTCATTTTTAAAAGCTGTCTGGAGCGCCCCAAAGCTTACCTAATGTTCAGTACTATCTTTTATGGACAGTACCTTGTTGGAACAATCAAATAAAGGCATGTGGCAGGGAAGCTGGGGTATAGAAATGTTTCCCCACCAGACATTTCAGCAGCCTACCAGGCAGCAATATTTTGGTACAGGAACATGACTTAGCCCTGAGCTGAAAGTGGTTCATTTGACCTTTTCCCAGACCCTCAAGGCTCCTTCCACTGGCGCTGTGCTTCAAAAATCCTAAAGAATGGTCCTGAAGACCACATCCGAGAAATTAAGACTTTCAAGGCAGCAAAGTGTTTTCACCAGAATGCTCAGTAGTAACCCCAGGTTGCCTTCTTGGTGCTTCTACACTGTTTCCAGTCAGGGAAGGCAAATGTTAAGATTGAAACTGGAGCCAGGCTATTCCTAACAGGGCATCCTGTTCCGTATGAGACCACAGCTCACGTAGCTGATACACATACAACTAGTCAGGTCCAAAGTGTCATGAAGAAGTGAGCAAGCAAGGGCTTGGAGGCCAGGGGTGCCAGGAGATCAGATTAATAAGTCTCACCAAGCTGCTTTCATAATTAGGCTCTCTGCACACCAGCCCTCACCCAGGTCATTGTAAGCCACCCAGGGAGCAAATGAGACCAGGATATGACCTGCCATCAACATGGCTTGGTGACCCAACCACATGTTACTAAATGACTCTGAAATCTGCAACCTCACCAAACAATGAATGGGTAAGCAAGTGCTTTGTTTTTGTTCACCCAAGAATACCATGCTGTACCACCTCTTGCTATTTATCAAGCAATCAATAATGGTCTATCCAGCATCACAGTCATGGATACTATTTCAAAAGGTTAATGAACACTGTTGGAATCCTGGCTCTTCTGTTTGCCATTCTGACTTATAGTTCAAGGGAAAGTCTCTCATCAAAATGTAATGCGTATTTTAAGTTAGGAAGTAAAATGAAAAGATGTTTTTTGCATGCAAAAGATCTTTCACGTTATCATTTAGTCCTTTGCTCTGATTAATGCACAAAATCTTAAACTTTAGCATTATCCACTTGAGAATTAAAATGAACAACCTAGATTACATCTAGTTTTGACAAACAGAAATGAAAGTAGAGATCGTCTCAAACATCCTAAATCGTGGAATAAAACCGAAAGCATCAAATAAAGCATTCACATTTTCCTTCCTATGTCACGCTTTCAAGATATCATCCAGACAACAATCTGTCTCCTCTTGAACTAACGAGAGCTTTTATCTTTATTTCTGACTTCCTAGCTGTGGTTTAAAAATAACTTCGTGATTCACAGTGAAAAAAGATTTGTGAAGTAAATTTCACAGCGTTTCTTGGTCCAGTCTTACCTTTGGTGCCACTGGCATTCTTGGATTATTGACAGGTGCTGAAAAGGCAGGATTGCTTCCTGAACTATGAAACGTCCTTAACTCCTCCCTGGAATCAGCAATCTGGAAAACAGACCAGTGAGCACGTCAAGTCCCCACAGCTGCGTGGTGGCACACTCGCGGCACTGCAGAAGTGGTACTCTCTCCCCTCATCCTTGGGACTTCCTCAGAACATTCCCTCAGGTCCTATACTGTTCACATGGGAAACAGCAGCTGCCTAAGAAATCATCTCTAAGGGAAAAGTCTATTTTTCAAAAACCAGAAGATGACTAGAAGAACTCTACAGAAAAACAAATGTCAGTAAGTAAGGAAAGGATACAAAATTATCAAGGTTGTCATCTTTACCTTATTTTTCCAGTGGATAAGGATTTCAGTTAACTTCCAGCAAGGTTAAATAAGAAATTCAATTCTACTTTGTCCTAGAGATGACAACTGTTCAAATGTCTTTCAGTGGAACTTGCACAAGTTATAACCATCTTCTTATGCTTCCTTTCAAGTGAAAAGCATTAGTTAAGGAAGCCTGGTCAAACTTGCTACAGGAATCAGAGTGGGGAAACAGGTTGAACTTGTGCTGATAATGCTTGCTTTGAGATTTCGGGTCACTGGTTGCCATATTAAGATCTCAAATTTCACAGCTTAAAGGCTGTGATCATGGGCATTGTGCATACCATGTCTTTCTTTTCTTTGTAATCAAAGGTGGAGCTCTGTCTACACCAGGAGTCAGCTGTGAGGCTTGCTGCAATTCTCCTGTACTCAGATGATGTACTGGGCCAAGCAAAGATTTCAAAATGGAAACAAAGCCTGAGAAAACTCAGCTTTAGGCTTGTAGAGAAAGCTCCCTGAAGGTGTTGGTGCGATTTGTGCTATTGTAACTAACAACTGCTGCTATTTGACAGGAGTTGGGAAAAGCAAGCTTTCCTCACTAGAACGTCTTCATTGCATGAGTATTTCAGAACAAACAGCTTCCACGAGGAACAGCTTCGAGGGAATGGGTGTTGAGCTGTGGCTCCGCGCAGCCATGCTCGAGGGCACTTGGTTCATCTGCACTGCTCACCTTGCTTAGGTCAGATTCCGACTTGCTGGAGCACATGCTCTGAAGCTCCTTGACGAGATCTGCTGCATCGTCTGAGCCCAGAGAGAACCTCTGATCCAAATTCAACGTCAACGACAGCTCGTTCTCTAAAGACCTGACCAAAGTTCAGAAAAGAGTTTTGAAAGTGAGAGCAACACCCAGTGCCTAAAATGGAAATCTAGACTGTGTGTGTGATCATGTTGGGTAGAGAAAGGTTTTTTTTTAATAACTTTTTAATGAATTTCTTAATGTTATTTAATGCTACAACCCACTTTCCTACCCTATGATAGACTGTTAAGGTAATAAATCTCCACATGATTTTGATAACTCCCCCCCTCTAAATTTGATTTACAGCGTGTCAGTCTTTACTTTTCCCTTTTCTGCCTCGCAGGCCCAATGCATGCACTGTGGTCTAGGGGCCAGTGTCACAGAAGGCAACACATGGGGATTTCGCACGTGACTGCAGCACTTGCACTATGGTGGGAGGTCGGATTTTCTTCTGTTTTCATCCCTGACACCTCAGTTCCTGGTTCCCTTCTCTGTAAAGAATCCTTCAGCACACACATCAGATAGGCTGTTACACAGGAGGGATCGAGCAGGAAGCCTGGCAGAAAGCAGAGGGCAATGCAGTTTCCTGCATCTCCCCCCCTTCACTTTCTTCTGTAAGGCTGTGGACCAGGGAACAGGACCCTAAGTGTTACCCACCCAGTGACATGGGCTACACTGAGGCGTGTTCTACAGACTGCCCAAACATTTGTATTCTACGATCAACCAAACAATCCTCTATTTCTAAGCTAAAATATTCAATAATAACCTAGGAACAATGCCAAGAAATTAATTGAAATTATCACTTAAATAATCATTTAGCACTAAATAAGTCATGCTCTATTTCTGTATACTTAGTGTTTAAAGAATCAGTCATCTAAAGGTAGTAATTAATGCATTGACAAAGATAACATCTTACAAAGTTTGATTTTAAAAAAATGAAGCCCATGCTATTTAGTCTTTTTCAACAAACCAAAAGCAAAACAGGCTTATATTAAGTTATATTAAACTTAGTGAACCTTTAAGATTTCAATTAAAGGTTTGATATGCTGTTAACAGATGTCATTCAGCAAAGAATCACAGGAACTGATAATGAGAACATAGAACATTTAAATTTTAGTGACTGAAGTTATTTACTTTCATTGCTTGCCATGAGATAAATCTGAAAAGGGAACTTACTTTTGTTTTGATAGGGAAGTGTTCCTTCCACAGTTCAGCTGTGATATAGCCTTATTTTTTATACCTGTTAAAAAAGGAATCATTTTCAATAGAATGCATAATTGTGTGCCTGTGTGTCTTGAGCTCTGTATTTAACAAGACACAAACTACGGACTCTACAGTACTTGCCTTGGATTAACATCCACCTCTTGATGTTTTACCCAGGCCTGTGGCCCCAGACACAGCTTCCCACAGAGCCATTCTTAGATGGTCAATAACCAATTTCCTTAGGCATATGATTGAATGACTGAACTCAGCGCAACTAATCCCATTTGAGACTCAGTTCAGGAATCCTGAACTTTGCGTTCATCAACAGCCTCCCTTCTTGCCAGTCAGGTCCCTAAGTACAAGGGTTTTTTTTTAATTTTTTAATTTATTTGACAGAGTTGGACACAGAGAGAGAAAGGTCTGCCTTCCATTGGTTCACCCCCCAAATGACCGCTATGGCCAGAGCTATGCTGATCGGAAGCCAGGTTCTTCTTCCTGGTTTCCCATGTGGGTGCAGGGTCCCAAGCACTTGGGCCATCCTCCAGTGCCTTCCCGAGCCACAGCAGAGAGCTGGACTGGAAGAGGAGCAACCGGGACTAGAACCTGGTGCCCGTATGGGATGCTGGTGCCGGCCCCCTAAGTACAAGTTTAACACCCGCCTTTTGAAGGTGGCAAGCTCCCTTTACCTTTGTTTGCCTTCCAACATCACAGGTGATGTAATCAAGAGTAGTGGGCCTGTTAATGCACTGGAGTGCACGTGGCATTTACTTGCAGTGCACTGGCAGAAGTTTGACTATACTGTTTAATACCTTTGCACAGCAAGTATAAACAAAAAGTCATGGAATTTAACAAATACTGCAAATCAGACCCAGTGGTTTTCTAACTGCTCAGAAAACAGTTAGCTTGTAAAAGAATATGGACTTCTGTGTACTGATCATGACAAATTTCTCATTGTGGGTTACAGTCAAAGTTTGATACACTGTTATAAACCACCTTAGAATTTAACAAGATGGCTCTATGTATATACACACTTGAATTTTATAAAATCATTAAAACATTTAGTTGCTTCTGGGGGAATTCTACAATCTGTATGAATACAATTGGCATAAATATTCCCTGAAGACGTTTTTGAACTAATAGAGTATCTAAAAGGTAATCGGTAAAAGTGAAATTGACACTTTGAGATGAAATGACTTTGAACAGCCTTTGTCTCGACTGTTGAACAGTTTTTTTTTTTTCCATACTATTTGTGGAACTCTTTGTATAGGGTTAATCTTATGTGTAAATAGATCTCAGTAAAAAACAAAAATGGGAATAGAGGGAGGAGGAGGGAGTGTGGTTGGAGGGTATGTAGCGTGGGAAGAATCACTATGTTCTTAAATTTGTATTTATGAAATGTGTGAAGTTTGTATTCCTTAAATAAAAGGTTTCTGGGGGAAAAAGAAAACCAAATACAATAGATCCTCATTACAGGCAGATCACCTGAGGCAATCATTGTCCATGACTTTACCAAGGACTTTTGTCCTTATTCTCTGAAAGCACCAAGTGGCTTTCTCAGAAGCCTGTGACCCTTAGGTCAGGAAAGCAACGGGCTGCATCTTTACTAAGTTTCATGAGCTTCCATGGTGGTCCACATGCCAAGGGATTCTTGTTTTGGTATTGAACACTGGTGTCAAAAAACAAAACCCAAACCTTGTTGTTATTATTAAAAACCTGAGACATGTCAGTTTCCAACCTAACTTCTGACCATTGTATATTTCATAAAATTTTTAGATTTTTATAAATCTCCCTTGGGATTTGATGTCACTGTCAGTCCTTCAAATAATTTGTCATGATTTAAGGAATATCATTTAATGTTTAAAATATAGACGAATTTAAAACCACTATCTACCTTTTTATATCTAGCAAAGCTTAGTTTTTTGACTTGGACTTAGTTCTAAAATATTACATTACTTTTATACTTATTCATTCTGTCATCTCTAAAGCATGTACTGGCAATGTTTACTGCTCGGGGAATGTTTTAAATGTTAATTAATTTTTATTTATTTGAAAGGCAGAGAGGTAACTTCTAATCTGCTGGTTCACTCCCCAAATGCCTGCACCAGAAGGGACTAGGTGTCTCTGGGTGTGGCAGAGTCTCAAGTACTTGAGCCATCATCTGCTGCTCATTGGCAGGGAAGTGGACCTGAAGCCAGGGTGGAACTGAATACCAGACACTCTGATAAGGGATGCAGGTGTTCCAAGCAACAGCTTAACCCACCGCACCAAAACACTTGCCCCATATGACTAGGTTTTAGCTCAAGAAAGAAGCAGGTCCTAAACCCTGTAGAAATTCCAACCAACTTGGCAACAATACAGTGGAGATAAACCTGGATGTCCAGTTAGTGTGTGCTATGGATTATGTATGCCCCAGAACTAGGCTGATAGGACTTGCAATAAACAAAAATATGCCAAGACTATTTCCTGGAGAGGTTATTTGGAATAGGTTGATTTGTTATTTGTAAATGGAGATGACCACCATTGCCTTAGAGCACTGTGCATACTGTGTAGAAAAATTGTCTGTGGAGGCCCCAGGCAACATGGAGGGCTGACTCCCTGACTCGCCCACTCTAACTTTGGACAGTGATGGCAAGTTCTTGGATCAGAACACATCCTGTTATAAATAGATAACATAGATCTTTTTAAAAGTATAAAGAGGGGCTGGTGCTGGAGCATAGCAGGTAAAGCTACCACCTGCAGCACCGGCATCCCATATGGGTGCCAGTTCATGTCCTGGCTGCTCCACTTCCAATCCAGCTCGCTGCTATGGCCTGGGAAAGCAGAAGAAGAGGGCCCAACTCCTTGGGCCCCTGCCTCAATGTGGGAGACCCGGAGGATGCTCCTGGCCTCAAATCAGCACAGCTCCAGCCATTGTGGCATGAATCAGCAAATGCAAGATCTCGCTCTCTCTGCCTCTGTGTTAACTCTGCCTTTCAAATAAATCTTTTTAAAAAAAGTATAAACAGACTTATTTTATTCAGTGACTCTCCAATCATTTTTTTTAAAAAGGGACACAAATTGCCAGCACACTCCTTGGATAACTAGGGAACTGTGGAAGCAAGTGTTTATATGGTTAAAAACACTGATTTTTTTAAAATTAAAATCAAAATGCCTGATTAAGAATGGAAATAGAACTAAAAGCAACATTCCACGTCAAGAAATACAAGATTTTAGGGACTGTATTAATTTGGGATCTCCACTGCTGTAATGTTGAAATAAATTCCACCACACTGAAATATGAAGGTGAGTGGGCATTTGGCCTAGCAATTAAGTGGCCTCTTGGGACAACTGCATTTCAAATGGGGTGCCTGGGTCCGAGTCCCAGCTCTGCTTCCAATTCTAGCTTCTTGCTGATGGTACACTGGGAGGCAGCAGGTGATGTCTCGTACTTGGGTTCCTGTCTCCCATGTTGGGAGATCCAGGTTGAGTTCCTGTCTCAGCGTATCCCAGCTGTTGCAGGTATCTGGGGGGAGTGAACCAGTGTGTAGGGGCTTTGCCTTAAAAAACAAATGAGGGTCTTCAAAAAAAAGTCCTGGAAAATGTATACTAAGAAGAAAAACTGCATAGACTTCAAAATTGTTTCGCAGCAACATGAGCTTTCAGTGCCACTTGAACATGAACTTTTTGAAGTCCTTGTGTACTTTGGATGGATGGGGCTTCTGGAAGCCTGAAATGAATTACAGATAGTAGAAACTCACTAGGCACATGAGGTGGGGGACTTCATTTTCCTTTCTCAAAGGTGTATTTCCTTCAAGAAAGACATTTACAATTTGTGTAATTGCTGATTGTCATGTTATCCATGTCAAATAGAACAGGTGTAACACCAGGCATAGATCTGTGTTAGAATGAAAATTACATATCCCTTTACCATATCTCATGTCATCTCATATGCAGCCTGTCTCATGATTTATTGGAATACAAGCAATGGGAAGGCAGAGGATTTGTTTTTCTTGTTCTTTTCATTGTTCCAATTCTAGTGTCTGGAATAGAACCCTGGGCCATGTGATAAAACATGAAAAATGAGGTGGTACAATGGATTCACTTGCAAATAATTTAAATTGCTATCACGTCTGTACGTATGTTAACTTTTCTGTATTTTCATTTTATTCAAAAGACAGATATAGAGATGGAATGAGATCTTCCATCCACTGACTCACTCTCCAAATGCCCCTCAACAGCCCAAGGCTGAGATAGACTGAAGCCAGGAGTTAAGAACTCAAATCCGGTCTCTAACACAGGTGGCGGGGACTCAAGAACTTGAACCATAATCTGCTGCCTCTCAGGGTACCCATTAGCAGCCAACTAGAATGGAGGCATAGGAGGCAGAACTTGAACCAGGGATGCAGGTGTCCCAGAGGTGTCTTTACTGCTGTGCTAAATGCCTATCCCTATATACAGTTTTAAAAACATAGGACTGGCTGAGGAATGACAGGACAGGAGAGAAATATGCCAAAGCTCCATTATTCTGCTACACACATTTACTTGTGGACACCAAGAAAAAGGAAACTAATCCAAAAATCAGTGATCAATATAAAGCTAAAGCTAATTTTAGAATTCTAATATGCAAGTGGCATTTTTCACATAGGGGATTCCCAAACTATTTCTAGAAGTTTACTTACACCATGGTCAGTTTATTCCATGTCTTGCTGAATGCACAGGGAGACGAACGAAAGCACATTCGCATTTAGAAACTGGGTGAAGAGCGCTGGCCCCCTTACCTCCCGGGCTGAGGTCGGGCTCATTCCAGGTGGGTGAGGAGAAGCGGCCAGACTTCTTGCGGGGACTGGTGCTCACCTTTCTCCAGGCCCCGCTCTCTCCTTTCTTCTTGCTGCAGCTGTTGTAACTTGAAACAATGGATAGAGGAAAACTTCCCCCTCTGAAATCCGCTGTGTGCTGGTCTAGCTCTGAAACAACGCAAATAATGTTTTGACAACAGGCAGGCAGCGAAGACCCCGTTCCATAGAGTAACCGGAGCTACTTTCTAATTCTCAGGGTTGTGAAGACCCCTCCAAATCACGGGCCTAATCCCTTGGTGGGGAGTGGGCACACATTTTACCCGATGGTCTGGAATTCAAACCTGAGCCAGTGATTACACACACAGAATGAGACCTGGAGCAGTCTCAGGTAACATCCATGGCTCCAGTTATAGATAGAAAAGAGCTCTCTTAGAAACAACCATCATGGGGCCAGCCTTGTGGTGCTGCTGCACCTGGGCCCCTGCCACCAGGGTGGAAGGTCTGGATGGAGTTCCTGGCTCTTAGCGTTGGCCTGGGTCAGCTCTGGCCCTTGCGGCCACTTGGGAAGTGAACCAGCAGATGGAATCTCTGTGCTACTCTGTCTCTTAAATGAATCGCGAATACCATGCAGCATTACAGGGTGAGGAGTCCGTTCCTCCCTGCACACCTCCACAGACCTGCTCTCGGGAGGGGACAACCGTGCAGAACAGCTTTATTGAGTAAGATGCTGAGAGCAGCTTTCACCACAGCCTGCTGCCCGTGGCTGGGGTGTTTCTTAGCCGCCGTCTGCCCAAGGCCAGGCTGTCTCTTCACTGAGGCTCGCGACAGGATTGCTGCTTGAACTCTGGGCGCGATGACAGCGTTCCACAGCTTGGACATCCACCTTGCAAGAGAGGGGCGGGTTCAGCTAGGCCCATGCTTCTCAGAATACATGCAACTCTACAAAAGGACAGGCTTAAACACGTCTGGGGAAAAGCCTGAGTGATTCTACAGACATGCTACCTTTCTTTACCAGGTCATTTTGGAATAAATGAAGCTGTTTGAATTTGTCTTGCAAATACACTGCATTTCAAAGGAAACTGATAATTTGCATGTTTCCCTCAATGTAAGAATCAGTGCTTGAATGATGATTGAATGCATGAACAAACACCTGGAAAGGAAGGTAAATTTGAAGACTGAAGGAGTCTGGAGAAAGTAAGATTTTTCTGAAAGTACATGTTCTAAACAATGCAAACTTCTTTGCCAAGTCTAAGACACATATATGTTGTCTTTTAATATTGCTGAAATTGAGTTAGACTCATGTAAGAAGCAAAAGCAATTTATATCTGCTTGCTCCAAGGAACGAGCTCCTTGGTTCACCTGGGAGGGCTCAGCCTTGCAGAGACAGGATGGGTTCAGCCGGCCATCATGCCTTCCATTGTGGACTCTGCATTATAGCTGTAAGCAGTGCGGCATTTCACTCAGATTTGGAGCCCCCAATGCCAAATACGATTCCTTCAAAAAGCACACTTTTTTATAGCACTAACAAGCCATCATATTAATAAAGGCTACAAAAGCAATACCACATCTCCTGGATAGGAAAGTTTTCAAAGCTAGTAGATACTAGCAATACAATTTTCAAGTATTATTAAAAACTATTACTAAAGTATTAATCATTGGCCTATTATAATCTTCTGTTAATATCTAGTGATGTGTAATTCAAGTAAGAAAATGAAATTCCAATAAAGGAATATAGACAATATTCTGGTATTCTACAACAATGAGCCGAAATTAGTTATTCCTAGAAGTGTTAAAGGTGTAAAGATGGTAAGTTTTGGTTAAAAAAAAAAAAAAAACAGCAGAAGGCAGCTCCTTACCATGGCTGGTGGGGGAGAGTTTTCCCTGGCTTTCCTGCACATCTGAGTCAGGTTTTGTTCTGGATTCTATTTTTCAGACTGGGAAAACAGAGATAGTGGCTCCTTGGGGAGAGGAGGCACACTTGTTTCCTGCCTGGGATAATAAAGGTAACGTCTCCTTCAGCATCTCCTTTTAGAAGATGGAGAGGGGGCTCAGAGCTGCGATGGAGACCCAGCTTCCTCCTGGGCCACGGTGCAGACCCCCAGCACCTGGTAGAGCTTGAGGGGCAGGAGCTGCCAAGTGCACGCTTCCTGCTGGGCTGTGAGTGAGGAAGTCCTCTATTTCCGACTGGGCACCGAACCACGGCAGGCAGGCTAACCAGCTTGCCAATCAGAGGAAACTCTCAGAGCCTCCCCAGTTCTTAACAAAGACCACGCTCCATGGAGGAAAGACCAAGACTGGTTCCTTAAGATCTTAAGACTCTTACGGAAAAAGGCTCCGATTTAACTGTCACAGATGTCAACAAATGGATTTCTGGTTTATAGCAAGAACATATGTATATTCTCTCCCAATAGCTGTTATTAACTTGATGATTTATCTTACAATAGAGAAGAGATTATTTGCATCCGCTGCTTTCCAAAGTACTTTTTTTGCTCAGAATCCTGGAAAATGCACCATGAAATCTGCTGGCTAATCACTAATCTTTTATTTGGGAATAAACTTTCCTGATTTTTTATCTCATTAATCTTATGTCTAAGTATGTTCTCATTAGCTGCTTCACAGGCAAATACATTAAGTTCACAAGTCTCAATAAAACAGGAGGCTTCTCAATGCAGTTGTTTTGGGGTGGGGGGCATCAAGTATTTGACAGGGCTTCTCAAGGGAGACCTTCCCAGGAGACATTGCCCAGCTAGCCCAAGATCTGTAATGCAGGCGCAACTGCTACCCGGCTCTTAGCAAAAACACCACAGGGAAAGCTTGGTCACTCTGCAGCAGGAGCACAGGGCCCCTGTGCTGCCTCTGGGTTGCCGACAGCAGGTGGCACCAGCAGCGCCATCAGATTCTCACTCTCAAGTCTCCCACATGGGCCAGGGTTCCATTTTCAGGGTGTGCAGGAAAGGAAACATGATACTTACTTCACTGTCGCTTGGGCACGTCCAGGGACCACAGGACAAGACAGGAAATACTTTGGGCCGAGAAGTGCTTCAGGTGTGCCCAGGTGGGCCAGGCAGGAGTTGAGCTGTCGCCAGACGGACAGTGCCCAGGCTACGGTCTTGTGCACGGGGTCGCAGGGTGCAGGCACCTGACCTCTGAACTGGAGGTGGGAAGCAGAGCACAGGGTCTGGCTTAGAACAAGGATGCTGTTCCGAAGTTCCAAATGCGAACCTCTAGCTGACTCTGATTCTCCCTTCCCTTGGCTGAAGGAGAGATGACTCATTACCTATACTGTTGGGCATGTTAAAATGTCAGTGTGAGCAACCATTTTCGCACTGCGTTCTCACCAGGACCCTAAGGCAGGTCTTTTTACCACGTTTTTCATGCCAGCAGAATGAGGTACAACATAGTAAAAACTTGCCCAAGGATCCATAGGAGAAAGATGACAAAGCTAATGCTAGAGTTTTAAATTTTTTATAAAGGTATAATTGCTAAAATATTTATGGGATACATAAACTACAGGTATACACTGTGAAATGATTAACTCAAACATCTGCCACTCCACATATTTATCTACTATTTGTGGAGGAACACTGAAATTTACTCTCTTCTCAAGTTTCACGTATACATTATTAACTGCAACTTTTTAGTGGGCAGAAGTCAGGATTAGGATACACAGCATTTACATGAAATAATGGAGGAGTAGTTTATCACATTTAAAATGAAGTGGGTGAGAATGTTTTGCAACAAAGAATTCCCTTTTCCCCCTCAAGCAGAACATTTCTGGTGCTCTCTAACCTTTCCTCCCTGTGGTGAGGCTAGCCCATGGGCAGAGAGAGAGTGGGTCTGCCTGTCTGTGTGGGCAGCCAACAGAGGAAGAGTGTCCCCCTACCTGCCTTAGCAAGACCACAGTTGGGTAAGGGAATGGATAAGGCCTCTTAAAAAAAAGATTTTTAAAGGCAGAGTGAGAGAGAGGAGGAAGATAGAGCTCTTCTATCCACTAGTTCACTCCCCAAATGGCCACAACAACCCACAACATGAGCCAAATACTTGACCTATTACTGCTACTTCCCGGGATGTGCATTCACAGAGCTGGAATCGGAAGCAGAGCCAGGACACGAACTCGGGCACTCCATTATGGGGTGTAGATGTTCCAAGCGCATCTTAACTACTGTGCCAAGTGCTTGCCCCATTTCCCCCATTTTTTATTTATAAAATTCACTTAATTGAAAGGCAGAGTTACAGAGAAGGAGAAACACACAAGGAGAACTTCCACCACTGATCCACTCCCGAATGAAAGCCAGGAGCCTGGAATTCCATCCGGGTCTCCCACATGGAGGGCAGGGGCCCAGGTAGTTGGGCATCCTCTGCTGCTTTCCCAGGTGCTTTAGCAGATTGGTGGACTGGAAGTGGACTTGAACCCACCATGCTCATAGGGGATGCTGATGTCATGGGCAGCAGGTTAACCTTCCTTTAAGTATCAGGTTAGCGTAACTGAAAAGTTTTACATGTGACTGCTCACCGCTCCTAAAACAAGCATTCCTCCTCCCCCTGCTCTGGTGTCCATAGTGGCACCTTACTTGTTTCTTTCATAGTACATGTTAATCACCTGTTCACTGTAACTAGCAACAAGCTTAGTGTTGTGCGCTTGAAGTCAGACACAATCAGAACCCAGAAGGCTGACTCTGATCTGATGTCACTTAACAGAATCAGAGCCCTGCACTAAGGAAGGGACAAGGCTCAAAGCCATGAGTTCATCCAGTCCAATGCTGGAGTACCACAAATGGAGTCACACCCCAGCACTAGGTCATCTAAAAGGAGTGTGCCCCACATGGGGGCCACGGACATAGTGCCTCTCTGTCTAGAGGGACTGTGAAGGGGCTCTGTCTGGCTCCCCCTCTCAGAAACAACCTAAGGCCAGAACACAAGTCCTCATTAGCTGACTGGGCGATGCACAAGCTCAGCCAGCCACAAAAGGAATCCTGAACTCTCAGGGGGAGACAGTCCAGATTTCTTAGCATGGAAAAATTCTTCCTTGAGGGGGTATATTTTTATCGTCATGAACATTCAAAAATGCATACAAATCTGTATTATTACTGTTTTCTGGGTTAAGGTGAGGGATAATCATATATTTGGCATATTTAAAAACTTGTTTAAGAGAATTCCACACATTAGAAAAACAGTATGTTTCCACTTTAAAATAGTAACTTAGTGGCTGGCGCCACGGCTCACTAGGCTAATCCTCCGCCTGTGGCGTTGGCATCCCGGGTTCTAGTCCCGGTCGGGGTGCCGGATTCTGTCCCGGTTGCTCCTCTTTCAGTCCTCTGCTGTGGTCTGGGAGTGCAGTGGAGGATGGCCCAAGTTTTTGGGCCCTGCACCCGCATGGGAGACCAGGAGGAAGCACCTGGCTCCTGGCTTTGGATCGGCGTAGCGGCCATCTGGGGAATGAACCAACGGAAGGAAGACCTTTCTCTCTGTCTTTCTCTCTCTCTACCTCTGCCTGTCCAAAAAAAAAGATAAAAGAAAAAAAATAGTAACTTAGTTATTGGTTTAAGGATTTTTTTTTTAGATAACTATATGCTTTCATTTTATCTAGGAGTGGAATGCCTAAGTCATATGAAGAGTGTATTTCTAACTTTGTAAGAAACTGACAATCTGTTTTCCCAAGTATCTCTACCATTCTCACCAGCGATGTGTGAGTTTTTTTTTTTTTTTAACATTTTACCTGCTTACTTTAGTTCCCGGGTAACGTATTTTCCCATACAGTATCTTTTTGCTTATTCTTGTCAGTTAAATCACCTACAGAATCCAATTTGGATAGCTCTATCTTAATCGATTCTACTAACTTCTCTAAGTTTACATCTAAGAAGAGAAAAGGAAAAAGGCTTTGTGGAGTTTTAAAAACAGGGAATAAAAGTATCAGAATATTCAAAATGCTGTATTTGCCCTAATGTCTACAGGAATAATCTTTGCAAATGCTCTTCATCCAGATGGCTCCGTCTTGGCGAATTCTCCGTCTTGGCAATTCTCAGAGCTTTCTGCTGTTGTCCACTGTGTGTCACTATCTTCCTACCTTTTGAAAGCACAGTTTCCAAAGTCTTTCTGGCATTAGCTTGCTGAGTTTCAACATATTTTAAGATAATAATCCACAATGATACAGATTAGGAAATCCTGAGCAAGGTAAGAGTTGACAGCAACAAGAAATTTCCTAGGACACTTAAATCTACTAAAATTGGGATGGGAGCAGGCATTTGGTGCAGCAGTCAATATACTGCTTGGGATGTCTGCCTCCCGTATCAGAGTGCCTGGTTTGAGTCCTTGCTCCATTTTTTTCAAACTTTACTGAAGTTATACAAGTTTCATGTCTTTCATATGTACAGATTTAGGAACATAGTGATACTTCCCATCCTACCCTTAAGGTTCTGATTTTAAGTGAAATGGGATAAGAGAATTGAGAGAACATTTGGTCAATGGATCTGTAAATTTAATTTTCAGGTTTTATAAAAGTTAAAATACTACAGAAGATTTGTATATTACCAGAAATCTTAAAAAAGAGAAATTAGATAAAGTTTTAAAAGCAAATTAGATTAAAAAGAAAAAAGCAAAATAAACTTTTTAGGGGAATTTAAGTTATAAATGTGTTCCCTTCAAAAGCAACTGTTAGGTTTTGCCAACTCTATACATAGAAAGATAAAGCTTGGGGGAAGGCTGTACATTTGGATATGCAACTCAAATACACTGAATGCAGTCATTGAAAATAGCACTTGAGTAATCACATTCTGAATAAAACTGCCCAACAAGGCTGCCAATACCCCACCAGAAGGCTGCTTTTTCAATGGCCTGCCTATCTTGCCAGGACAGTGGCAGCTCCATGAGGGTGGGCAGGACTCCTCTCTTGTCCCACCTTTCCCAGGCTCATAGCACACACTGACTGCATAAGCAGTAACACTTTTCTGATGCATCTCATACAGGTGAATGAGGTTGTTCTTATCACACTTTGTTGTGATGGTTTGTTTCCATAGCTACATGTCCACCAGCCCTGGTATTTCGTCTTCCTTGGTCTGCCCCAGAGCAAGGACTGAAGTCTGTGACTGACCAGGTGAATAGATTGAGACATGCTAAGCCTGGGGGACAGATAACAGAAAAGGAAGTGAGGAGGGCGAGCCAGGAGCTGGGTGTGGGGATGGGCTGTGTTGAGTTTGGCCTCATGTGCCGTTTACGGGGGACTAAGTTACACAGAACTTTAAGCTGGTTTCATCAAATTAATGCAAAAATAGAGCTATAAGTAGATGAGGGAGGAACCTGGATGATTTCTTAAACATCAGTTTTGGAAGAAATCATCCTTCATATGTATGTAGAGTACTTCACAGGGCCTTGCAAATAGTAGTGTTTAAGAGAGGTTTTTGCATGAATGAAAAATGAAGTAAAATTTTTCATATTATGGATAAGTGTTAAGGTGATACATCTGGACCTGGGCCTGCATACCTTGTATATTAATGATGAAAAAATGTCAAGTTCTGTAAAAGGAAAAGGTTTTAGATAAAATGCTAACTTTACAAAAATGTACAGAACTCTGTCAGCATAAAAAAATTAAGTTCAAGATGTGAGGCACAAATTTTAAATAATACTGCATAACATACATAATCTAAAGGAAGCTATTCTTTCCAGAATTACATTTTATAAATTCAAGTCCCTTTTGGTCAGCACTATAATGTTTTTGTTATTTGGGAGAGTAGAGAATATATCGTTTGACTCAGCTGTTAAACTGCTGTTTGAGACACCTGCCTCCACATCAAACCGCCTGGGTTAAAGTCCCAGCCTCAACTCCAATTCTGGCTTCCTGATAACGCAAACCCTGAGAGGCACCAGGTGCTGGGTTCAGTACCTGGGTCCTTGTTAATCAGGTAAGAGACCTGGGTAGAGTTCTGGGCTCCTGGCTTCAGCCTGGCCTTGCACTGGATGTTTTGGGCATTTGGGGAGTAAACCAATAGATGGAAGATTTCTCTTTGTCTCTGTTGATATTTGTCTTTCAAATAAATTTTTAAAAAAAGTACGAAAGAAGAATAGCATTCTATGAAAAATCACTAAAAGTTATCATTTTGACAGTCTTGAAAATGTGTCAAAGCTACAGAATCCTATTTTTTCATAGGTCAAGCACTTGGATCCCAGACAGCAACGTGGGAGATGGAGTTCTTGGTCCCTGGCTTTGGCCTGGCCCAACCCTGGCCATTGAAGGCATTTGGGAAGTGAATCAGTGAGTAGAAGATAATTCATTCTCTCTATCCCTCTCCCACTCCTGCTCGCTCCCTTCCTCTCTCCCTCCCTCTTGCTAGGCTTTTTGGACAAATAAAACTTTAAAAAAAAAAAACAACAACAAAACCTTGCATGAGGGGGTGGATACTGTTCTGATGCTTGCAAGGAAGCAGTGCAAAACCTTAAGATTACTTAATTCTAATCCTGCCTTCCACAGCATTTAGAACTTGTGGAGATTCTTTGAGAACAGTTAATAACGATAGTAAAAACGAATCACTTTTCCTTGTACTTAATATAGTTCAACTCTGTTATGGGTTTCATATTCCTTATAATTCAATCCTAAGATATCCAAAAACTGTTCTTGCCCTACACCACACAGGACGTGTTGCACTCAAGCCCCAGTCTCCCCACCACCCAAGTCCCAGTCTCTGGGCAACAGGGCGCAGCTGTTGTCTGTTACCTTATTCACAACTTTCCTTCTCAGGAACCTGGGCAGCAGTCCTTGCATGGGCTCGCCATCCCACCGCAGCTGTACCCAGCGGAAGTGCTGCTGCACCAGCAGGTCAGAGCCCTGCAGACAGGCCTTGGCAATGGTCCCCATCAGGAAGCAGTTCTCATGAAAATAATAGCACTCGGATGCTCCATTTCCTAAAACACAAAGGTCCAGTCTCCACAAGTCATTTGATGCGACAAATGCAATTTAAAACAAGTTCAAGACAGCAGAGTGTGAAGTGCCATTTGTGCTCTGGGGAAGCAAGTCATGGCAGTGGTAAGACAGAAACTTCCTTCGAAGGCTTTGCCTAGTGTCTCCCTCTCCTTACCTTTTTGGAAAGTGCATGGGCTTTCTGTGCTGCGATTTTCAAGAGGTGCCAAAAAGTCCCCCAATAATTCAGACAAGGAAGAATTCTCCAAATTTTCTAAGATGATGATGATTTTCTTCTTTACAGGAGATTGTTTCACTGGGATCAGACAAGCTGTGGTCAAAAGGGAAATGCGGTGATTAAAGCTTTTTCAAAAAATTTAAATGTGAAGATATAAAACGTTGGCAAAATGCGGTACAATGGATATGCTCTGAGACTGTGGAGGGGCGTGCTCACTGTGAAGAGTCTGACATCATTCAATTCAGTTGAAGCTACACACATGCACACACACTAACCCAGCATTCCTCCTCCCACGACAGATCCCACAGTCCAGAATCCATCAACAACAGGATGGATCAATAAGTAGGAGTGTAGTCACACAGCAGATATGAAATTACAATGACAAGTAATAGCATGGAAGACTGTCACCACCAATACAGTAAGAAGTAAATATCAAAGAACATATACAATATAATTGCATCACGAACTGTTCACCAGAGGAAATACTAAATATATAAATTAGGGATCCATACGCAAGTCAAAAACTATAAAAAAAAAAAGCAAAGAAACGATTATCCAAAAAAGTAAACTAGTGGTGACCTTCAGAAGGAATGTTTATGATGGGGAGAGGCACATTGGTTTACTCTGGAAGCTGAGTATATTCTATTCCTTGACCTGGTTGGTGTTTAACTGGCTATCTCATTTAAAAATGATCTGAAAATGTTGGTGTGAATTTACGTATGTCTGTTTCACAATGTTAAAGATTAAAAACCCTTGAATGGCCTTTAAATTTCATATATGAGCAAGTAAGATGTTCATAAAAGTATGAGGAGGCGTAAGTAGATCCCTTTATCTCTTTTTACAGATCTCAGAGGAATGGAAGTGATTTGACTGTTTCAGAAATAATGGCAAGGAAAGAATAACATCTAAAACTTCTAAGTCTTATTTTAGTATTCCTTCCTCTCAGGATAGGAGGGAGTGACTTCCTGTCAACCCAGAGTGAAAGATGAAATGTAAACAGGAAATTATAAGTTTTCACAAAGTTCACAGAAAATGCATATTCTGAAAAAAACTGCATGGTTGTCAAAATTTTTGTGGCAAAATAATCTTTTGATTCCCTTTTCCATAAACTTTATGATGTATCCTTGCTTATAGGAAACAAGTTATTGCACAGAGCACACTTAAAAGAGTGTCTGGCACTCAAGCACTTAAGTGTTATTACTATTTTAATTAAAAATGCACACAGCACTTACTATATACTAATCAACAAATTAAAACCTTTTTATTTTCTTAAAGATCCTAAGATGTCCCAGTCTTAACCAAAATAACCTTGGAAAAGGAGAGACCACGTGTAGAGTACTTGAGTAACATTGTCAAATACTCCAGCTTTCACGAAGACTCATGATAGAATGTTCTCTCAGTCTTCTTGTTGTTACTATAAACAATTCATTTTGCTTTCCACAGAGCTCCTTGAACATTGCAAATGAATCTCTTCTCATCTTACAGCAGCTTTTCTGATGCTAGGAAGCTTTAAAAACTAGAAGAGGAAGAGGGTAACAGCCAGCTCTCCCTTGAATTGTACTTGTAGGGGCTGTAAACCAATGTGCTGTGTGTGGCGGATTCCCTTCAACGCAACTATCCAGCAAAGGAATTTTTTTCTTCTCCAGAAATACCTTCTGAGGCATGCGTTTGGCAGTGAAGACACCCTTATACCATATCAGAGTTCCTAGCTTTGTTAGCTGGATCTGAGCTTCCGGCTAGTGCAGGCCATGGGAATCAATGGTAACGGCTCAAGTAATTAGGTTCCGGACATCCTTATGGAAGATCTGGTTTTGGCCATTTTGTACCAGTCACTGTAGGCATTTGCAGAATGAACCAGTGGATGGAAGTGCCCTTCACCTCACTCTGTTTCTCAATAATTTTTTGAAAGAAAAACATGCATTGTAGAAGTATGATAAATCCCTAGTTGGTTAAAGTAACAATGATAGCCTAACAAATCTTTTCTACTCAGTGATAAAAAAAAATACCAGGTTGATAGTTTATGTATGTTTTTGTAACTTGGAACTGAAGGTTTCCAGCTTTCCCCTGATTTGGGTTAAGTATATGGCTAGGTGAAGTGGCTCTTAAACTGCTGCAATGAACTGCAAAGTATGAGAAGCAATATTTAATTGCAGTTCAACAAATGCTTATCCAATGTCTTCTTGCTACCTGTACTATATGCTAAGTGCTATGGCATGCTGGAAGTGACAGAATATAATGGGATGTGGGTGACATGTTTAACTGGGCATCTTAACAGATGGGCAGCTCAAGGGAAAGCTTTCTAGGTTTAGGGAATGGCATAGGCAGAAGAATAGAAGAATGGCAGGGCTCAATTTTCGAAAGGACTGGGGCATAAGATCAAAGAGAGCATAGCTGCCAGAGAGGCAAGATGGTAATCTCAAAGCTGATGCATAGCTCAGATCAGGACTGATGGGGGGGGGCGGCGGCACTATGGCATGGCGGGGAAAGCCACCACCTGCAGTGCTGGCATCCCATATGGGTGCCAGTTCGAGTCCCAGCTGCTCCACTTCTGATCCAGCTCTGCTATAGCCTGGGAAAGCAGCAGAAGATGGCTCAAGTCCTTGGGTCCCTACACCCACGTGGGAGACCTGGAAGAAGCTCCTGGCTTTGGATCGGCGCAGCTCCAGCTTTTGCAGCCAATTGGGGAGTGAACCAGCAGATGGAAGATCTCTCTCTCTCTCTCTCTCTCTCTGCATAACTCTTTCAAATAAATAAATAGGTCTTTAAAAAAAAAAAGTACTGGCTGGGAACCAAGGGTGGGCCAATTGAGTAGAATGAAGTCAAGCACTCAGAGCTGTGGGCAGCAGTAGAGTAGCAGGCTGCATGTTTGTCTTGCTCTGTCCCTTAAGAGTCAACAAGGATCCATATCCAGGAATTCTCAGCCATCTGATTGTTAAATTGGTCTGTGTTGGCCCTGGGCACGGGCATTTTGTAATAGCTCCCCCATGACAGAAATGTGCATGCAGGGGTGAGACCTGCTACGAGGTAGCCTCAGTACCCAGCCACAAACTAAATTGGAAGACTCAGCATGTCATGTTGAGAGAGACTACCAGCTCTGGGAGTAGTGGAAGTCTTTAAGGAAGGAAACAAACAGAACTTGACTCTTGGTCTGAGCTCCTCTCTGTGGCTAGAGAACTCACACGTCAGGCTCTTACTGCTTTCTTTAAGGCAAGCGGTGATGATGAAGCCCTGCCCAGGGCCAAAGCACAGGATGAAAAGACAGTGTGGGATAGAGTTAATGAGGCTCAGTAGTTGACTTACTGACGGCGAGGCAGAGAGGGGACATCAGAGATGAGGCTATACAATTAGTGAAGGCAGAGAGAGCACATCAAAAGTATAATAGGGGTGGGAGGTGAGCGTTGCTTCAGGTCTGATGTGTTTGATAAGGGAAGCATCCCTTGAAGATCTCTCTAGCAGATGCTGGGATATGAAGATTGGAGCAACTGGTGAAGATTCTGACTACAAATAAAATTATAGGAGAACTGGAAATCTCTTGGAAAGGGTTAATAAAACACATTCTCCTAGGTTTATGGACAAAAATTGTATTGCTAATGATGATTTATCCCACATTTAATAGGTAGTTTGTGCACTAGCTAAAAAGGGGTAAGGTTGCTGTTCACAACCATTGGGTTGCATTTCCACCTTATTCTTACCTTGATATCCTAGGACATACCAATCAAGGATCAAACAGTGTGGATTACTCTGATTAAAAAGTTTTATCCTCCAATGCTGCTGACCTCATTATCTAATTTTTTCATTAGTGTCTACTTCTCTATCTGACCATTTACATTCAACATCTTTAGACAAGCCAGTACAAAGATAAACTTTGAGTTGAGAGTGTAGGTCTAGTTTCGGTTATTTAACATGGTTTCAGGTCTAAAATACATGTAATAATTATCCACAGAAACAAGAACTCATTACAGTTTGGAGTTTTAAGGATTAACCAGTCTCTGACCATGGTTTATGGAGATGTGAAAGGTGGCCACTTGCCCCATGTAATATCTGCAGATTCCTTTTGATCTGTGGACCAAAAGCCAGCCATTGAGATTCCTTTTGCTTTATGTTCCTCAAGAGCTCTGTCTGTGAAGTAAGTTTACCCTTTCTGTCCTTTTTGTTCCCAACTTGCAGGCTATATCAGCCTCGTGCCTCTCCTGTGGGCTCACTTCTTTGATACCCTCTTCACAAGGCTCTATACCCTTACGGCTAAAGTCATTCAGCAACACTTGTTGGTTTAAAAGTAATCAACATACCACTTTTATAGTTCAACCCAAACTTCTTCATGTCAAGGGTAACCCCAAATCAATAATCTCCCCTTTGGGAACGTAGAAAACACCCACCCCCTCCCCACTGCCTTTTGCACTGTCCAATTAAGTCAAGCTCTGTAAGGACAATGCTCTGAGAGTTCAAGTGAGATGCTCAGGACAAATCTCCATAGAGCCTCCAGTGGTGCAGAGCAAAGGAGCTACACACTGATGGTGACTCCAGCAACCACAGTCTCCTAATACTGTCAGAGCCATTCCACCCTGATTCCTTCTAAGAAGAAAAAGCAAAGCATTATTTTAAAATGCAGATCCAGTGTCGACATTTTTTCTTTTTTGCTATTTACTGAAACGTGTCATTTTAAAAAGAATCTTCCTTGTTAAGCCAACTCTATACCTTACTCAGAGGAGAAATCTGAGCTGAGCCTAAGTGCATTCATACCCTTCTCATCAAATAGAGTCACAGGGTGTGACCCTTTCACAAAAGGCAATATGAAATGCTAAGTGTGGTTTTAGCAGAAATAAAACCAAAGTAATCTGTGCTAACCTATGTCTATGTCATTATTTTTTGAAGTATTCTTGGGTCTTAAAATCTTTTCTTCACTGGCACCATTTTTAAAAAAAGACATTTATTTGAAAGCTAGAGTGACAGAGAGAGAGACACACAGACACACACACACACACACACACACACACAATCATCCATCAACTGGCTCACTTCAAAAATGCCTGCAATGGCCAGGATTGGGCCAGGCTGAAGCCAGAAGCAAGTAACTCCATCCAGTTTCCCCATGT